GGAGAAGAAACGATCGGTAAGCGATAAGGTTGACCGTTTTGCGCGAGAAACGCAAGTGTAACAGAGAGGCAGTGAGGTAAAGGCAAAAGCAAAGGCAAAGGTAAAGGCAAAGGAAGAAATCGATACGACGCCTGCGCGTCGCGAAACCTAACCCTGCTGGAATCGGCGTCGTTCATCCTACTCGAGGCCTAGGCTTCTCCCATGATCCCCTTGCCGCCTTAGCCAGCCGCTTTCTTTCGTTATCGTAAACGGAGAGCAAGCACCCTCTCTTGCTCGCCAGCTCACCGCGTTTTATTGCCACCAATGGTGGAGCCCATACACCACTGTCGTTTCATCGGGGAGGAATCACCTAATGCCAGGATATGTACATCTGTTATATATTCGTACACGCCACACACACGGTAGGCAGGTCAGCTCTTGCGGCGTTCGCCTAATGTTGTCTAGACGGCCTCGTGACATAGCAAGCTTTAACCTACTCGCTGCTCTGACCCGCATATATTTTGGCTCGCGAGAGATTGATATCACCGATCCACGTTGTTGTCCAACGTGTTTTGGAGAATGCGTTCGCAAACCTAACCTAGTCGGAATTACTAACGCAAGTCAACTGTCTCGAAAGGAATTATTTTCAACCTCGTATACTCTATATATTATTACATATATTTATAACAATCTATAATCATCTATTATTGTTATTACATATTTATAATCTGAACTTACTAATATAATTCTTTTCTTAAAGAATCGCGAAACATAATCAGTAGTAGTGAGGAATGTCTACTGCCCTTGAAAAGAAAAAAAAAAAAAAAAAAGTCGATTCGCATTCGCGTGAACGGCGACGCGATTCGTGTTATCGCGGCGACCGACAACAAAGCACCGGAATTAAAACCGTAATGAAGTTCAGCAACGAACAGGAGCTGCAAGCACATACATGTATATAAAGGGAAATAACAGAGAGCGTACGGTCGTTTAATCGCGTACAATTTCACCGGAAACAACCGTGTAAAAGTGCCGTTTAAATCGTATAACTTCTAGCCGGTGATCTAGATCAGACGAACGAACCAGCAGCTCGCCTAAACGCGACAAACGATCGTTTAACGAGGAGGGGATGGTTAGCGCGCGATTCTCAAAAAATCGTGTCCGGCAAATAAGGAGCTACTTGAGAGAGAATCGTACATCCACGGATAACGTGATCGATGGCATTCTATTTGCTGTTTCATCTTCCAGCACCACGTTTGATTAAGGCTTCGATTCAAACCAAGAATGTTGAACGAGTGGTTCTCGTTGTTTGTTCACGTGTAACCTGGCGCAGTTGTTCCTATTCGATAATAATTCTATCCACACCCAGGCGATCAACGCCGCCAACTCTTTCCCTTTCTTTTCTCCCGCCACTTCGAGACTGTGGTACTTAACCGTCAAATGAATGAATCCTCTGCTTCCTCTATCCAGGCTCTAGATCGTAATATTCGTGATTAATTAATTGTGAATGTCATTAATTGTAAATATTAATCGTGAATGTCATATTTATTATAATCGAAAAGTTTTCGCCATTTTGCAATTATTTGTCTCTCTTTTCTTTCGTTTCTTCGTTCGTGGGATCCGGAGGAGGACAATTTGATTTTCTAGAAGGGCAATTCGAGAATGAATTTCTTGCATTTCTTTAAATGAAAACTTAACTTTTTAACCCTCTGCGGGCTCCCGTGTAACTTTCAAGTCGTATATCAATATTTTGTTAAATAATTGAAATTTTTTCCACAAGATGGCGTACACGTCTCGTTGGACAATATCTCCTCATTAACCAATAACATTCTTGATAACAGTTATCACCTCTATCCTGAAACGTTAATTTCATTATTCGCTCGTAATAAAATTATCGAAACTGCTGAATTTATATATATTACATACATTTTTTTATAGTCAAGAAAAATATTCGGCCCGTAGAGGGTTAATTCTTGTCTTTCAAGGATGTCATGTTTTTGAAGTTAATGGCTTTTTTAATTTTCCTCCGCATTAAAAATTCACTTTTTGAACAACGAGAATTATATCAGGACTTTAGAGATGCTCAAGTGGAGGCATGGCGAAAAAATAGGTTGAGAACCACTGCTCGCTATAATCGAAATACTTTGGGTCAGTTTGTCTTTCTTTTCTGTCGTCACTTCGCCCGTGTGGCATGGCATTCCCTGCTTCCTCTATTTAGACTCTCGAAGACTACTTTGGTCACTTTCATAATGATCGAAATACCATTTGGCCATTTTATAATAATCGCGAAAAATTACACCGATATCGCTGGAAACGTGATATCAGTTGTATCGTGTGTCGGCAAACGCCAAAAGAGAATTCTGAACGTATGCATTTCTGCGATTAACGTCGTCTCGACGTTTCTAAGTTTACCTTCCTCGTTTCCGACGACTACTCATCACTGCTTTTTAATTCGCAATGTCAAACGTGTATAATCACGTACGGTGCATTTTCAAATACGCTCTATTATCCTACAGAGTATTAAGCACAACGAATTAGGTTATCTTCTGGTCGGACAAACCTCAAAGAACGTTACGCAACAAGGTGATCAATTTTGTAAAGCTATTAGCAGTATCGAACAGATGTTGGCGTTAGGTGTCCACTACATAGAAGAGCAACGTGACACGAAAAGAAACGAGGATTCGCGACGCAGAACACGAAATCGCCTAACAGATTTAACGTATTACGCTATCGGTATCTGGAACAACCTGTTTGAAAACATGGCTACGTATTAGAAACGTCCCTGGCTCGTGCGCAATTAGCCTGATAATATACCGCCTGTACGCGTACAACAGAAACCTAATTTGCCGATAGATTCCGGGGTACAAAAATAACAATTCCTACGAACTCCATTACAATTGAAAAACTTTGCCTCGTGAAGCAACTTTCGTACGGTGTTTCCATTTTTTTTTACATTAAATCGTCGTTTAGCAAAAGAATCGTCTTTTTTTTTTTTTTTTTT